TTGAGCACCAGGCTAAAGCACCTACAGTTACTAAGTGCTATACTAATCTAGTGTCCACTGAAAAAATATTCGAACAGGCATTTACTTTTAAATTTTGGTGGCCCTGAAAAGGGCCGTTTTAAACTGTGGTTTTGGTGGGTAGGTAGCAGAATTAAGCCTTCTTTTCGGTCTTCTTGGGCAAGAGAACGGCTTGGATGTTGGGCAACACACCACCTTGAGCGATGGTTACTCCGGACAACAATTTGTTCAACTCCTCGTCATTCCTGATGGCCAATTGCAAATGTCTGGGGATGATACGAGACTTCTTGTTGTCACGGGCGGCGTTACCGGCCAACTCCAAAACTTCAGCTGCCAAGTACTCCATGACGGCGGCCAAGTATACCGGTGCTCCGGCTCCGACACGTTCGGCGTAGTTTCCTTTCCTCAACAGACGATGGATACGTCCGACCGGGAACTGGAGTCCGGCCCGGGACGACCTGGTCTTGGATTTGCCTCCCTTCGATTTTCCTGCCTTGCCGCGTCCGCTCATGATTGTAATGGTGCTTGGTACGGTTCCAATTTGAAACTGAATAAGACTGATGCAGAACTCCGCCTGAACATTTCGGTATATATAGTAAAACTGTGGATAACCATACTGTGATTGGACAGAGATAACGACACTACGGTACTACGTCACAACGTTTGGTTGACTTTCATCACCAAACGATGTTGTTTTCATCGGACATAATCATGAAACGTACTTGTCGATAAACTCCTATTTTTAGTTATTGAGGACTAATCGGCGATCCTATTTATATCGTCATCATTATGGTATTTACACCAATAAACGAACGACATGTCGTTTGGATTTGGTAATATATACCCACCGCTATGACGCAAAAATTATCACTCAGTTCACAACGTTTCAGTCGTCAACAACTCTAGATACTATTATTCGAAATGGCTCCAGGAGGAAAATCGGCGGGTAAAGCGATGAAGAAGTCGTCCGGCAAGGCACAAAAGAACATCGCCAAGTCCGACAAGAAGCGCAAGCCCAAGAGGAAAGAATCGTACGCAATCTACATCTACAAAGTGTTGAAACAAGTACATCCCGACACCGGAGTTTCGTCCAAAGCCATGAGCATCATGAACAGCTTCGTCAACGACCTGTTCGAGCGCATTGCCGCCGAATCCAGTCGTCTGGCCCACTACAACAAACGTTCGACCATTACCAGCCGGGAAATCCAAACCGCCGTCCGACTCTTGTTGCCCGGTGAATTGGCCAAGCACGCCGTCAGTGAAGGAACCAAGGCTGTGACCAAGTACACCAGCTCCAAATAAGTCACCCGTTTTGAAATATCAATACTCAACTAAAACGGCCCTTTTCAGGGCCACCAATCGCTATGAAAAAATGTCTGTTTCTCATCAACAATTATTTTGAACTAGAAATCATCGCATGTATATATTATGACAATTACGGTGTACAGAGCCGGGGCGAGCACTGGGTGATTTTCAAGATAATTGAAAAAAAAATGCCGTCCCGTTACGTAAGAAATATACTAAAATATCGGTTCCTAAAATAGAATAATATGATATTAATATAATAAAATATTATGTAATACAATTATAAATATGATGGATATTAATAGTTGTTGTGCGGGTGTTACCGCCGTTAAAACGAGAAATTCGGTAAAAACATTCTAAAAATAACCCATTGTATGGGCACGGCAAATTGCATTATTGTTGTGTTGTTGTCGGTCGATCCGTGATAACGAAAAAATTAATGTTAATATTATATTCGAGCGACCGTGATAGCTATACCTAACCCGTCTGTAATGTCAACACGGGTCCATCGAGATTTTTAATTAGGTACAATCGGTATTTCACGTAATTGAAGCCATATTATGTACTACGAAAATCCTGGATAATCATTGTTTGTTGATCGATAATCGGTAATAAAAATGTATTTATAACAACGTCAATGTGCACATGGTAAATGTTAGCACTAGTAAAATCTTTCCTAGAAGACCGGAGCTTCATTGTACGGGTAGAGAATGAAAAATCTAGCGCAAAACCTATACGAGCAGGCGTCCCACAAGGCTCCTGCCTCTCTCCGATTCTTTACTCCGCATACACAAATGACATACCACTGAACAGTAACGCCTCTCTCTCGCTTTTTGCTGACGATACTAATAACGTTATTAACAACCACTAACCGAAACCCTTAAAGAGCAGCCATTCAGCTCCAAAAACAGATTGACTTAGCGATGGCCTGGTTCCAAAAGTGGAAACTGAAAGTCAACGCTCAAAAATCAGTGGCAGTCATGTTCAACCGCCCTAGAGGCTTTAATGATTTCAAACCCCAAATAAACGGACAAACTATAGAATGGTCTACCAGTAGCAAATACCTAGGGTTAACTATAGATCAAGACCTAAAATTTAAAAACATATCAATATAATCACAGAGAGAGCAACAGCAATTAGAGGTATCACATTAGAGGAAAAACACATCCAACAATTTGGACTATTATAGATAAAATAAGGTTAGAAATGGCACATGATGAAACAAATCTATCCCAAAACGGAAATTTTTGCTCAAAGTCAGTTTGATTTTGTATGTTGGAGTGCCTAACTAAATAAAAATGTAACCGTGGATACATGCAATTTTCGCCGAATGTCAATATTTGTATTTTCTACGCACCTTACAATTATTATCAAAATATTTTTACTCTTTTTGAGCTATTTATAGGTATAAGTATATTTCGAATTTTATTAGTTTATTTTTAGATTCTGAGTGGAACGATGAACGTATTGATTTTACAATGACGCGTGTGTGTGTGTGTGTGTGTGTGTGTGTGTTTTTTTTATTTTTTATTTTTGTGTCTGTCATCACAATTTAGGGCAGTAAAACTGCTTCGATTTTCTTCAACAGTATCTTGTTCTATGGGAAAGCGAATCTACTTGTTGCATTCGGGGGTCAAATTTTAAAATTCCCAATAGTTTTCCAAAGCGACGAGAAAAACAACATAGAAATTAAGGAAAAACGATAATTTTTACTCAAAATCGATTTTGGTTTTTGGTTTAACTCTAAAACAAATGAACGTATAAACATTAAATTATCACCGGTAGCTTATATTTGCATTTCCTACACACGACCAAATTTTCAAAATATTTTGATTTGTTTTTAACTGTCTAGGAACATTTCCAGTTTCCAATTTTATTAGTTTTTTTTTTCTATGAATGTAAATAAAACTTTATTCGTTGGGTAAAAAAGCTTGACAATTTAATACAAGCCTCCTACTATATTGTTACGATAAAAGTTGAAAAATATTAAAAACATATAGGCACAATTTTTTTTTTATAAGCATTTTAAGTTCGAATTTTGACGAAAATGTTTATATATATTTAACTTGTTTCCCATAATTTTACTCTAGGTCGTTGTTTATGTCTAGAGGCATGTGCTGGGTGGGGAATCTGACCAATATTCTTTATACGGTTGTACTGAGAAGTTGAGATACGGTGGAAGGTTGCTAAGGCATTCTTTTTGATTAAATGCTTGATAGGGATGAAACCGGTTGTGTGAAGAGTTACTGAGTTTTTTTACTATGGACAGTTGACCTAGTATTACTCTGATACCTATTGTCTGTACTGCTTCTATTTTCAATGTTAAAAACTTATAAAATGTTCAACTTTCATAGCTAAGGACTGAAAATTTAAAACAAGGGGGTCCACGTAATTAGGGAAATATATAAATTACTTTGTTCACAATGATATCATCAAATATACTTAGTATATCATTAATAGCCGTTGTGCAGCTATTGACGTCGACCACAAGGAAGTCGGTAAAAACATTCTAAAAATCCCATAGAAATACGGGCAATAGTATCTCGACGTAATTAAATGTTATTTTTATTTGCATCGCTTATGATTATAAATAACATTGAATTTGGGAATTCCTTAATAATTTAAATTCGATTACAATAATCAAACTGCAATTGCGTAGTTTCACCCGTCCACAGTCTGCAACGATCAGTTGCGGCAGTAAATCGTCACACGTCATACGGCTTACAAAAGCGTATGAAAAATAGTCAGTGCAAGACATACAGGTTTATATGAAATTGGTGGTCCTGAAAAGGACCGTTTTAAGGTATGAAGAGGAAAGTATTTTTACTACCAGTCTACTTCTTTTTTGGAGCTGCGGTTTTCTTGATCGGAGTTTTCTTCGATTTGGGCTTGACAGCGGCCGGCTTCTTCGCCTTGGCTGCGGCCTTCTTCGGTGTAGTCGCCTTGGGTTTGGTTGCAGCGGCCTTTTTCGCTTTTTTGGCTGCTGGTTCGCCCGCCGCGGGTTTCTTGGCGGTTACGAGCTTCTTCTTCTTCGGTGTTCCGGCGGCTTTGACTTTTTTGACGATGGATTTCTTCTTTTTGGCCACAACGGCTTTTTTCGGCTTGACCTCGACGACGGGCAACTTGAAGTGTCCCGAAGCGCCGGTTCCCTTGGTCTGCACGACGGTACCGTTGGCGACGGCGGCTTTCAAAAACTTCCTGATGAAAGGCGCCAACTTGGCGGGATCGACTTTGTAGTTGGCGGCCAAGTATTTCTTGATGGCTGGTAACGACGAACCCTTCTTCTCCTTGAGCTCTTTGATAGCCGAGGTGACCATCACGGCGGTGGTCGGGTGCAACGCAACGGTCTTCTTGACTTTGGAAGCCGACAGCTTCTTCTTGGCAGGGGACTTCTTCGCGGCCGGCGATGCGGCGACTGGAGCCGGAGTTGTAGCAACGGTGTCTGTCATGTTGTTGATGATGATATTGTTCAAGTAAAAACGATGGATAATTCGACTGTATACTGCGGCGATACCAATCGGGTCGAAAAATGTGTACGTTTATACAGTGCACCGTACCAACTAGTAAACCAGTGTGATTCGCGTCGTCCTCCGGGCTACGGTTGTACAATCGTTTTTCACAATATCTCAACGGGAAATGGTGGTAAAAATGTGGCTTTGAACTTTTTGGCGAGCTAACTAAATTCTAAACGATCGCCAATGTCTATTGCATCGGCACCGAGTACCACGAAACCACCACGAGTCGTTATTTCCACACTTCCGACCGGGTTTTCGTAAACCGTATTTGAAGGTCCGTCGTATGACTGAAACCAGTCGAAATTTGACGAAAATATTTTGGATGAATTCTCCACGAGTTTCCCGAGACCATAGCGTTTGCAGATTTCCAAACGACCGATTTTCCGATGAACAGCGGCTGTTCGAATATGACGGTTTTAGGGCTCTGCCACGGCACGGTGTCACCGGCGTGTTTCTTCCTTGAAGTTTTAACGAGACAGACTTTATCAATAAATCTCGTCTGAATCGTACTTTACCGAATAAACGATTATAATAACACATTGTTAAAGGACTTCGGTCGAAACAACAATTTATGTTCATTTGTATGCACTTTTTGTCAACCATACCGGTGGACCGGATGACGGGATAAGAATTTTTGAAAACTGATTTGATGACATTAATATATCTATGTGAGATCGATCACGCCACATTATCTCGTTCCTAAACTAATAATACAAACTTTGATCAAATGTCTCATATTTTTCTAAATTTCAAATTTAAATAAAATAAACGAATCATCATCATCATCATCATCATCATCATCATCATCATCATCATCATCATCATCATCATCATCATCATCATCATCATCATCATCATCATCATCATCAGTGTTGGGAATAGATAACTAAAATAACTAATAAATAAAAATCTAAAAATAAATTTTTTGCCGTTTTTTTCATACCTGGCAATAACTATTCAGTTGCATATCCAGAAATATTTTAATGCGGGGGACCGTAGTTTCAACACCATAATATAATTTACAGCATCACCTTTATTAGGTGTATCATCTGTAAATTTTTTTGCACATATAACCTACATCATTAATATTATGATTTAAAATTGATGCTTTTACTTAAACTCAATAAATATACTTATTGTATGTACCTATCACATAGGAACTCATAAGTAAAATAAAAAACAACATTAATATAACTCTTTTAATATCAGAATGTGTATTTAGTTTAGATTTGTATTAGCACATAAAATAATGATGCTTGATTAGATTAGATATAGGATATTTACATTTGTTTATTTAGTTATTCGAAAAAAAAAACAAAACATAAACAATATGATACTCAGTCAACAATTTGACCAAAGAATATAACAAAACTAAATAATTTTAAATTTTCCATTTACACAAATAGAAATTAAAAATAGCATTGTTAATAATAAAAAAAAGGTGGGCAAGTGGGTGTCGCTCTGCTGTACAGTAGGTTACAAGTGGGTCATTGTATAATGGATGGTATTAAATTTGAATTCAATGATATAATATCATTGTATAAGAAAAACGATTCTGAGTGGAGACGGTATGTATTTCTAGGTATAAGACATATTATATACATATCTATGGTATTATATACATATCTATCTTTCGGTGAATTGGTGTTCGTAAGTAACGGAGAAGAGCTCAGCTCTGTCTTTTGCGCTGTATAAAAGAGAGTTTGGGCCTGAAAGCGGGTGAGTGGCTGGGGTTTTGTTTAGCAGCTTTTTGTTGAGTTTGAAGATGGAGTTGTCATTGATATCCAACGAGTTCAAAAACTTGTCCCATTCATCTTGTCTGTGAGTTTGCAGGAGTGTTCTTATAAATTTGATTTTACTGTTAAGTTGGCGTTTAGTTGCAGGATCACGGGTTTGTTGCCATTCGCGACGGATGCGGTTTTTCGATGCAATTTCCACAAGGATTTCATTCGGAATTTGGTGATTGTAGCGGCTTGTGGGTACGTATGAGCATGATTCGACTGTGGACGCGATGGTGTTGGACAGGTATTGGAGAGCTGAATCGATTTTTTCTGAAGTATCTGTTAGTACATTTGAGTTTAGAATTGATTTCTCAAGTAAGTTGGCATATTTTAGCCAATTTATTCTACGACTTGTATGTGGCGGTGCGGCGGTCACAGGGGAGTCTGAAATAATGAGTAGAATGGGGTTGTGATCGGAAAATAATTCATTTAAGTTGAAGACTTCAACAAAATGTAGTGGGAGTTTGTGTAGTGCTACGTCCAATATGTGTGGTCGATGGACGGGGTTATTTGGGAAGTGGGTAGGTGAGCTGGGTGCGGTAACGACGTAGTCGGAGTTTTGGGCATAGCGGTATAGAACCCGACCTGCCGGATTAACGCTGTTGGTGTTCCATAAGGGATGCTTGGCGTTTAGGTCGCCTGCAATTATAAACCAATCACAGCTGCTTGTCAGGAGGTTGAGGTCACTTATAGCGAGAGGTGACTGAGGGCGCTTATCATCTTGGAAACAGATTGAGATCTTCCAGTCCGTAGCACTACGTATCATGACCGGCGCCCACTACCTGGTCTCGAATCTAAACTTAAGGAACTCAATGTCCATCGAAACCCTCCAAGACGAAGCACTCCACCTATCAAAAAACCTTGCTCATACACTTTCAAGGAGCAAATATCCACACTTATCATGTCTAGTCCCATGAACAGACCAAAACCTATCAATTAAATTACCTTATTCAGAGAGAAAAGGCTTAGCCTGGTGCTCTTAAACAGGCCAAAGGCCGTCCCACCAAAGCAAATTGCAATTGCAATTGCGCTTATAAACGGCAGATATTATTTGAATTGAGTCTGATCCTAGAGAGATCTCAACGGATGTCGAGTTTAGAGAAGTTTTTTGATGCACCTGGCGGTGAACGATGCGTCGGTGAATGATTACAGCGGTTCCACCATTTGCGGCAGTGCCCGGACGGAGTGTATTATCAGATCGATAAATGAAATAATTTGTAATTTTTAAAATAATAGTAGGTTTAAGTTTGGTTTCACTGATGAGTGCAATATCAATTTTTTCTTTGTTTAAGAGGATTTGAGTTCATCAATTTTGTTTTTGATGCCATTGGCGTTCCAATGTATTATTCGTAGTGGCGTGTTAATCATTTTTGAGGGGGGAGAGGATGTTGATAAATGAGTTTATTGTGAGTGTCATAATTGATTTAACGTCTGTGTTCGAGGCCAGCGTATTCAGCAAGTTTGACAGGAGGTTTAATACATCAGAAATGTTGATGTTATTATCATTGTTTTTTTGAGTGGTGGTTTGAGTTTTTTTAACGACGCTTGCGTATTAGGTTGGTGTGTTTTGGAGTATTGGTGTTTCCGTGATTGAGTTGTCGGAGTTTGGTGTTTGGGTTTTAACAGGAGTTTTCTTTTGAGGTGTTTTTTCTGCGAGTTTTTGTAGGTAATAAGCGCAACCTCGGAAGTTGGCAGTGTGGGTCTCGCCACAGTTACAGCAGAACGGAGCTTGTTCTGCAGTTTTTGTGCAGCTTTTTGCAGCGTGTGGGCCGCTGCATTTTACGCAGCGAGGAGGGTGGCCGCAATTCGATGAACCATGGCCAAACCGTTGGCATGAAAAGCATTGTGCCGGACGAGATTTTTTGTAGGTTTCTATTTTCACCGATAAGTAAAATAAGTGGGGAAGCTCGGAGATATCAGCTGCTGCAGGGTTTTTAGATAATGATACAAGGCAGATTGGTAGGGGTTTAGACTTGTTTCCAAACCGTCTTACGATTTTGACATCGAATCCTAAGTTGGTTAGTTCGTTACTGATGTCGTCTTCCGAAATGTCAATTGGGATGCCTTTAATAACAACCTTCAGTGTTCGATCTTCGGGTAGGGTAAATGTATGGAAAGTTATGGACAGGTCACGAAGAGTTTTTTGAATAAGACAGAAAAGGTCGGCGGAAGAGACTTGAACTCTGACGGAACCATCGGCAGTGATCATGGCTTGACTTGGACTTGCCTTTGTAGGACGGCCTACGGCCTATATAGAGCTCCATTCTTTGCCTTTTATCTCTTGTTTCATGTTTTTCCCTCACAGTAGTGGACGATTCGTCAGTTTGTCATGGTTTATTGGGTCAGAGCCTGAATGTGACGGAATCTCGATACAGAAGCTCTATGTAAAAATATAGCTATTGCCGACTGTATTGTTTCCGAAATGGATAGAATATCGGTTAACTGTCATATTACTTAACTAGAAATGAAGCAATAAGACAGTTAACCGATATTCTATCCATTTCGGAAACAATACAGTCGGCAATAGCTGTATTTTTACATAGAGCTTCTGTATCGAGATTCCGTCACATTCAGGCTCTGACCCAATAAAGCTTCATTTCTAGTTAAGTTATATGCTCCGGTTATTGTTCTGAGTGCAATGTTTTGGACAGCCTCTAGCTTCCGCTAGTTGGATTGGCTAAGTTGAGGTGCCCAAACGACTGATGCGTACAGGAGGATTGGTTTGATGTAGATGGTGTACAGTTGGATTCTGGTACTTAGTGGAATCGGGGAATTTTGGTTCAGTGGGTAGAGTAAGGCTCTGACTCCTTTTGCTTTTTGTATAGTAGTTTTTAAGTGTCCATTCATTGTCAGTTTTGTGTCCATCGTTACGCCGAGGTATTTTATTTGGTTTTTCCATTTGACTGCTTGGTTTTTGATTTTTATTTGTCGAAGATGTTTACTTCCAAATATAATAGTTTTGGTATTTTCAATATTTAATTTAAGTCTCCATTTGTCTATCCAGATCACAGTCTGATCCATTTGTCTTTGTAGTTGACATATTGCGTAGTTCTTGTTTTGATGGGCCGTGTGGAGCATGGTATCGTCTGCGAAAATGGATGTTTGTATTCTGTCGAGAAGTGAGAGATCATTTACATAGTGTATGTAGAGTAGAGGTGAAAGGCAGGAACTCCTGCTTGTATTTGTCTTGTCGTTGATTGTTGGTCAACTACTCGTACTTCGAACGAACGATCTGATAAGAATGATTTAATTAATTTGATTGTATTTATTGGGAGTTCGGTGTTAGTTTTTAATTTGTAGATTAGACCATCGTGCCACACGCGGTCGAAGGCCTTCTCCATATCTAGAAATGTTGCAACAGTGTATTTATTTTGATTTTGATTGTTTTTTATGTCTTTGAATAGACGGAAGAGTTGTGTGGTAGTTGAGTGGCCTTCTCTGAATGCGTGTTGCTCCGCCCGAGGTTTTACGTATGTACGCAGAGTTCCCAGGATAATCTTTTCAAATACTTTTGAAATGGTTGAGAGTAGAGATATTGGGCGGTGGTTTTCTGGGATGGAGTGGTTTTTTCCTGGTTTTGGAATCATGACGATAGTGGCTTTTTTCCAAATCTCAGGGAAGTAGGAAATTCGAAGACATGCCGTAAAAATTTGTGCTATTTGTGTGATAATGTTGTTTGGCAGGTTTTTGAGTGCTGTGTTTGATATGTTATCATATCCTGGTGATTTGCCATTTGGTAGTTTATTTATGATGTCTAGGACTTGCTTGGGATTGATGTAGATGTTTGATGTAGTCTGGTCAAGATTTATTTCTGTGATGGTTTCGTTTACTTCTTGTAAGTCAATTCCTGTATTCCCTGTGAATTGGTTTTCCATGGTGTCTGCGAATAATTCTGCTTTTTCGTCGGCTTCAAATATCTTGTGGCCAGCAGTTGTTTGTAGCGGCGTGTCTGCGGCTTTCTTGTTGAGGAGACGGCGGTTTAGTTGGTATAGTGATTTGTTTTTGAAGTTTAACGTTTCTGTGAAAGCGTTCCATTGCGTTTGTCTGTGTTCAATTAATAAGTTTTTAACGTACGCAATTTGAGCGTTGTATAGACGTTTTGTTCTCGGGTCTCTGGTGGATTGCCACATTTTCCTAAGTTGTCGTTTGGTTATTATTTCTAACATTATTTCATCAGGGAGTTGAGATATGACTTGTTTTGGTGTGAGAGTGTAGGAGGCATTTTCTTGTGCATTTCGAATGGTGGTTGTTAGATTGTCGATTTTGTTGTCAATTTCTTCCGGTGTTTGAACGCGGTCGATTTTTATATGGGAGAGTTCTATTTTGAATTTGGCCCAGTTAGTTTTCTTTAGTATTTTAGGTGGGTTGTTTGAGATTGGTGATGTATTTAAATTTAATTGGATTGGATTATGGTCTGACGACAGGTCATTGTGATTTATTATTGTGTATTGAATTGACGGTAGATCCAGTAGTATGATGTCAAGGACGTCTGGACGATGAGTTTGTATATATGGAAAATGTGTCGGTGAATCAGGGGCAACAATTGTATAATTGTTTGCTTCCGAGTGGCGAAGTAATTTTCTGCCTGCAGTATTTGTTGAGAAGCTGTTCCAGCTCGGATGTTTGGAGTTTAAGTCTCCGGCTATTATGAAGGGCCCATTATGGTTTGTTAGAATGTTTAGGTCATTGTGGTGGAGATTTGCATTAGGACTTTTGTATACTGCCGTGATTTGTGTTAATTTGTTTTTGAGTTTCAATTGTATTGTTGTAGATTCTATAGTGGTTGGTAGCGTAACATGTTGATGGGTTATATTCTTCCGTATTAAAATTGCTGTGCCTCCTGAAGAGGGAGCGGTTGGTGTTTTTGGGCGGTCGGTTCGGTAAACATGATAGTTTGGTATTGATATTTTATTTTTGGGGTTTAGTCGGGTTTCACAAAGTAGGATTATGTCGATTTTATTTTGTTTTACAAATGCGGTGAGTTCTGATATTCGGTTTCCGATACCGTTGCAGTTCCATGATAAGACTTTTAGGTCATTCATCATGGGATGTAGGGATGGCATTTATGATTCTCAGGACTGTTGCGATGACCGCATTTTTTGATTCGACGTCTTCACTTTCTTGAGCTGTTGTAAGGAGGTCTTTGATTATTTGCAAGAGCTTGGATGCGTTTATTGTAGGTTCTGGCTTTTCTGCTTGGTGTTTTGTTACGCTCGCGTAAGATTTAATTGTTGATGCTATGGTCGTTTCGTGTGTTGTGGGTAGTGGTATAGGCGTTGGTATCGCTGTCTGTATGGATTTGTTTCTTGCTTCTCTGGAGTGGTCTATTTTTCCTTTGTAAATATCTGTGTAGTATGGGCAGCCCCTATAGTTTGCGGTGTGTTTTCCATTACAGTTGCAACAGGTTGGGGTAACTTCTTTTGGTTTCTTACATTCCTTGTTTGAATGGTTTGCTCCACACTTAACGCATCTTGGAGGGTGTCCGCACTGGAGTGATGAGTGGCCAAATCTCTGGCATGAAAAGCATTGGGCGGGACCCGTTGATTTATATGGTTCTATTTTTACTCGGACGTAGAAAAGTTCAGTGGTTTCAAATATTTCTTTCACATTTTCTGTGCGTTTTAGGGAGACCATGTGGATTGAAGTCTTTTATCATTTTTTACGAAAGCACGGACAAAATTTGGTTTGAAACCTTCCTCTAGAAGTTCTTCCATGAGTTCATCGTCAGTAATATCAAGTGGAACACCTTTAATTACAATCTTAAGA